CACAGCTGATGCTGTTCAATGATCAGCAGTTTGCAAGCTATAGGTGGCCTCTTTGAATGTCTTGAACTGAGGATATTCAAGGCAGCAATGTTATGCACAACCACTTTTCTTTTCCTGCAGCATATTTCTGAGTAGATATGGGGCTACATTACACATTACACAGGTGGACATTTGCACCTACAATAGATGACTCATGAAAAACACTAAACTCACATCCAGGCTAACAAAACCAAATCACCATGTCCATATATTATGCTAAGCTCAAATAAGCCATCTTTTTTTATTTAACAGGTTGCTGTGGTTCACAGGTGCTATGACAATAGCTGAACTTTTCACAATATACTGAACTGCAAGCCACTCAACCCCATTTTAGCTGATCCTTGCATCTTGTGCAAACTTAGTTACTGAGTAAACTTGGTTACTGAGTTACCTCACTCTTCTGCCCCTCCCAAAATTGCTACAAAAGACAAGCAAGAGTATACAACAAGCAATAGGTTGCAATTAAAATAATCCCCCTTTTTCAAACTCAGGTATGTCTCTTCTCTATTATGATACTCAAAATGTATCTAGAAATCAAACTCAACAATGTAAGAATGGAACTTTCCTCATAAGTCAAACTTATTTCCTCAGTCAAATCAAATCAAGATTGAGTCTACAGCAGTGTTTCTCAGCCTTGGCAACTTTAAGATGTCTGGACTTCAGCATGCTGGCTGGGGAATTCGGGGAATTGAAGTCCAGACATCTTAAAGTTGCTAAAGTTGAGAAACACTGGTCTAAAGACATGATCACAGTCCAAACTAGACATGATTGCAAAATGAGCTGACATCTCAGTAAGGCTCCTGGAATGCAGATTCCTTAGCTCACCTCCAAGTATTTCACAAATAAAAAACCACAACACCCAAATCAGAAACCTTTGTTGAAAGATTTTAAGCCAAACCTAGAAAGTCCTAAGCAGGGGGTGGATTCAATGACCTCCAAAATATAGTTCTACAAGTCCATTATCTAGGACACTCTATGATCTAATATGCTTTCTTTAAGATGTGTTAATGTTTTATTAATTCAGTAACTAATCCTGCCCAGCTTTTGAAATGAGAGTATACTTGTGGTAAAATGATCATAATAGTCTCCTTCACAATGCAATTTTAAAACCGTTGCAATTGACATATATTTCCTCTTGGAAATATTTCCATATGCATGGAAACTGGATGGCAGCATTTGAACTCTTTTATTTATATGCACGGTTAATGGGCACCGCATTGCTCAGAAACATGTGTATGCACACACATAGATCCTTCAAGACACCTGAGGGAAAAGACAGTAATCAACACTGTTGCTGAAATAAGTGCTAATTATCCTCACCACACACAGTTGCATACAGCCAGACTAATGAAGCCAATTCATTTTTACAAAAGTATTATACAACATACCTACAAAGATCAGAATTGTGCAAGCCATGTTATTCCCTGTGACACTCTATGGAAGCAAGAGCTGAACTTTAAAGAAGTAGGATAGGAAGAAAAATGACTTGATCGCACATAATCAACCAACCAATCAATCAATTATACAACATTGGAAGGATCAATCCCGCCTAACATGCAGCACCGGATGTTTAACATGCATCCCTATTCAATGTCGGAAAGCCAGTAATAACTTTTAAAAAGATGATAATAATTTATTAAATGTACATGCCACCCAACTCCCTGTGACTCAACAAATGATAACAAAGAGGATTTTCCAAGCAATCTGTTCCTGTTTCTTTGATTTATTCTACTTATGATGTAAGAGAAGAAACCTACCCAGTTAAATAAACAGACATTTATAAAATAATCTAATGATTTATAGTTCCAACAATTTGTTCCCACCTTTTACCCCTCTTTTTTTTAAAAAATATGGACTTTATAGTCCTGTTTTTACCAATCTTATGGTTTAACCTGAAACATATTGAATTTGACACTTGTATTTCTTTTATTATTACTACGTTGTTTTCATCTATTATTATTAATTTATTTTCTATATTTAATAATGCAAATAACACATTTGAATAATGCAAAGAACACATCTGAATTAATCCAATCCATTCTTGCAAAGGGTCATCGGTAAACCTGTGCTGTCCTATTTCTAAAAGTAACTGTGACTTTAAAAAAATCTGCATGAAATGTATTCCTTACTATATTCTTGTGTTTTCTCTCCCATTATGGACTGACAGGGTTTTTGGGTTGGTTTTTTTTTTTTTTTTTTTAGTTAAGAAAAGTATTAGAACATTTGGAAAGTGGGTGGAAAAGCACCAATCTGTACATTAGCACAGGAAGTTCAGATCAGTTCCCATGAGAATTCTTAGAAATCTACTGCAGCATCCGGAGCATGTCATAGCTTAAAGCATGTGGTAGTTACCACTTACTTTCTTTGAGTTTCCATAGTCACTGAGCATTTCCCAAGCCTTCAGTTGCAACCAGGCTGAAACTGAAGTTTGGGCCAGCTAAACCAAATCATGTGTGCTCTGGGCAGAAGTATTTCTGGGTTGAGCAGGAAAAAGCCAAAGATACTGATAGCCGTGCACGAAGGCTAAAGGGAAGTTGTTGTTGTTGTTCAGTCGTTAACTCGTGTCCGACTCTTCGTGACCCCATGAACCATAGGGAGGGAAAAATCCTGAGAAGATCAGAGGGATGGGGGGACTGACTGGATACACTGTGCTTGAAGCCAAAGACACTGGGAACCACGGGGGTTAAAGGGAGGGAGGGCAAGCAAGGCACGGGGAAGATGGACAGGCAGGCCAATACACAGACCAAGCAGAGGAGGATGGAAGAAAGGGGCAAGGTCCATTCACTTTGTTAAGACTCCTCCAGATATTGTTTCAGGCAAACCTGGAACAGCCAAGGGCTTCTGCCAATCCATTGCCTTGCCAGTATGCTTTGACAGACCTTCCAAAACACGATGGATTTGTTTCAGGTTTAAAACAAAACTTATCTCCTAATGCCATATTGGGACCCATGAGTATCATACCCCCTACCCTGGTTGAAAAAAAGGCAGAAAAATTAGAAATTCAGAAGTTCCTCAGCTACCTCATCAGGTTAAGTACAGTAAGTGGCAAGTCTGCTCCCCACAATCCCCAACCACCACCACCACCACCAAAATCAGCAATTTCACAGAATTATAAAACTGGAAAGGATCATTTTGGCTATTGGGTCTAACCCTCTATTTTTTCTCCCTCCTGAAAAATCAGTGGTAAATCAGGAGTTGTTTTTATGAAGAGAGAATATTTTCAATGTTCAATTTTTCTTGAGAAGATACAAAACAACCCACTTTAATCAACTAATCATATTGAGAAAGTGACTTGATCACCTTTTTAAGAAAAGCTTGTAAAGTCTGATCCTGTATCTATCAGTCAGTTGGAGCTATTTTGCTGATCCTTTTTAGATAGCTGAACTATACAGTTAATTATTAATATTTGGTGGGGGGGGGGAACTACCCATCCCTGAAAGAAAAAGAAAGGTTTCTTTAATGAAACAGCTCTTGTTCTAGGCTTAAATCTGATTGACAATTGCCTAATTCAGATATAGTACTTGAGAACACATGGGGGCAAGTTTAAGGCTTATGGAATTTCCATTCCTTTCCAAGATCATTTTAAGTTTCTGGACACAGAAGAGCCTGCTCAAATGCAGGAAACAGTTGTTTCCATTAGATTACAATATACTAGTTGAATACTAACCAATGGTGTGCTCAAATCATTATCTTATATTTAAATAAATCAGAAGATCTTTCCTTGTGTGTGAATGAGGGGAACAATGTCAGGCCAAGGCTGAGCATGGTATCCCTGTGACCATGGAATGATGTTAAACAGGTATATGCTGAAAATCAACAGTAATTCTAACCACACAATGCAACAATTGAGAGGGAGACAGAGAGAGAGAGAGCTACAATATCTATACCACCTTTGACCCAAAGCTACAATAACTATATCCCCTTTGACCCAAAGAACAAGGTAGTCAACAGTGAAATGTACAGCAGATCTAGGGAAAGTTGACTCCATATTGCATTTTACCAGCAATCTGTTTATCCAGACAGAGATAATGAATGAAGCTTCATTCATTCATTCATAAGGCCAGATCTCCCCTGGTCCTAGCCAAACACCAAAAGACAGGGCTAACCATCTTGTGTGTCCCCTCTGGTATGTATTGGAACATAACCCATAATCCTTAATCCCTGAAGCTGTTGGGAACTGTAAGGCAAAATATCTAGTGAGTTCTAGACTGGCTGCCTCCAGCTAGGTTGGAAAAAATTAACTCAGAGATAAAGCTCTCTAAAAATAAAGCAAACCCTAATATAAAATGTAAAAACAGAATGGCTGGGTTTGTACAATCCAATTAACCAGGTCAAAGACCTAGCAGCTCCATTTGTACAATCTGCTAAATTGGATTCGTTTTAACATAATAGCTTAATATTCAACTTAATAGCTGAACACAGCCAATTTGGTTAGTTTATACATATATACATACATATCTTTATTATGGTAACTGACCAGGATATAACAATCAGCAGCTGATGGAAATAAAACTAGGCATACTAGGCAAAACTAGGCAAGCTAGGCAAAACTGTCACAAACTGTTTTGTGACTAGTTCATTGATGCAATCAAAGTATGCCTAGTTTGGGTTACTTTATGATTCAGTGTTTTGGGAAAACCCAGAAAACAGGTTAATTCAGGTTAAGCATGTTGTATGAATACACAAATGTATGTGGATCACATTACATTAACCAAGGGGTAGGAACTTTATACTCTCCTGGAGAGTTCCAACTTGAACTCCTGTTAAATCCAGTTGTCACTAGTGAAGAATTATGGGAGCATCTAAAACCTCTGCCTATCCCTGTTTTACATCGCAGAAAGTGCAATAATCAACCTGATGTCCTCCAGATGTGTTGGCCAGAATGACTGGAGTTTAGCTCTACACTTCTGGAGAAAACCAGGCTGGAAAAATCTGGTGCAGAGATAGGAATAAGTTCTTACCTGTCTCAGAGTTGGTTGAAGCAACAGGCATTTCAACAACTAGGATAGTTTGCTCAGAGATGGAATTACAAATGGTTAATTCTTCTTCTAATGGGTACCTGTGGTGATCCTGCAGACAGAGAAGAAATTTAACAACACCTCTTCAAAATATGATCTTGGATATTTATCCCATGGCCTACAGTAACATATACCCACTTATTCTGAAACCCTAGATAAAGTTCAGAGATTATTTATAAATAACAGACTTGGTCTCCACTAGGTGATTTATTTTTATTTTATTTTTGCATTTTAGGCAAAAAGAAAGGGAAGAGGAAGAAGAGCTAAATCATCGGGCTGATACTCATCTTCTGCCAGTTTCACCTTCTCTCACATTCAAATTTTTAAAAATCTGAAATCTTTCCCATCCCAGTTTTGAAGAATATGCAGATGCTGGCAAGTTTTGTCAAAAGCCAACCTAAATGAAATAATCTACCATCTACCCCAGCCAAATTTGTAGAGTTATTTCCAGCAGGGAAAGGACTATACAAAATGTGTAGCTGTGAAAGATGAAGATTGCATCCAAGAAAAGAGAGTTGCCAACCATAATTAAACATCACAACCATGGAAGAACACATATAGATTCAAAGCCAGGCTTCTGAGAGCTAAACACTCAAACCCCTTACTTGTTTTGCTTTTCTCACTATTTTTAACAAATCTCACACACTTTCAGATCAGTATATTTTTTTAAAAATGCAATTTCTGTAAGTTCTTACAAAAAATACAACACGCTCTGGCTTCAATACATACAGATAATAAATGAAGTGGAGGGAGAAGATTAAAATTGTTCACATCCATACACTCAACTGCTGCATGCTGGCATTTGTTTGCAAGTTGATGCTGAAAGGTTTTTGGAGTTGCAGTTTTCCCATTCTTGCCTTAAAGACGGACGCACAAACTTATCCAGTGACCACCATCCAAACAAGTACATATTTGGGGCCAAAATATAAGCAACCTGTCTTTTGATTTAATTTACAAGGCATTTAAATTATATTCCAATGCAATATAAGCATTATTTAAATTAAATATGATTACTTCCCTTCTGCTAAAGCAAAGTTTCAATTCAGTGGAAACTTTGGAAGAGCCTCTAGCTTTGAGAGGTCCTGCATCTCAAGCTATGCACCCAGGCCTAGAAGTAACACATCTTGATTTCTTCCACCAAGATTTAAAACGACAGGTGGATTCATAATGCCTACTGGGGCTTTGATTTGCCCAGTTAAATTTTGGTGTCTATTATTACTATTTGAATACTTACCCTTACATGTCTACTGTAGTACAGTCCAATTCAGCAACTCAAAAGTTGCACTGAAATCAATAAATTTTCCAATTCATCCAGATGTGTGGCATTATTTTCTGCTCTCCTTTGTACTGTTTTGTTACTGATATTTTTATGCTAGTGTTGTAAGCATTATTTTAGGCTTGTCAATTGTTATTAAATTGAGAAAGCCAAAGAATATGAAAAAAAAAAGTCAGTAGGTGCTTCTTTGATTATAGAAAAGCTTCAGTTGTGTCAATCAGGTCAAGCTGCAGAAAGTGCTCAGAAAAATGGGAATCCCAGAACATCTCATCGTCCTCACAAGACACTTATATAGAGATTAGGAAGCCACAGTACAAACAGAACGTGGCGAAACAGACTGGCTCCAGGTTGGCAAAGCAGTGCGACAAGGCTGCACACTCTCCCTTTATTTAACCTATATGCTGTGTATATATTAATGGAAGGGATTGGAAGAAGATGAGTGTGGTTTTAAAACTGGAGGAAGAAAATCAATAACCTGCGCTATGCTGATGACACTACCTTGATAGCCAAAAATGCAAAGGATCTGCAAGGTATATTTAAGTCAAAGAGCACAGTGAAAAAATGGGACTAAAATTAAATACAAAGAAGACCAAACAGGTAGAACCACCAGCCTCAAAACTGACAATGAAGATACCGAAGTAGTAGATAGCTTCTGCCTTTTAGGATCAACTATCAACAGTAAAGGAACAAGCAGCCTAAAATACAGTGCAGACTAGCATTTGGGTCAGCAGCCATGAAGGCCTTGAAAAAGATATTCAGAAGCTGTGATGTGTCTATACCTACAAAGATCAGCATCATGCAAGCCATGCTATTCCCTGTGACACTCTATGGAAGCACAAGTTGGACTTTAAAGAAGCAGAATAGGAAGAGTATTGATGCCTTTGAACGTTGGTGTTGGAGGACTCCAGAGAATACAATGGACAACCAAGAAAATAAACTGATGGATCATCAAACAAATCAACCCAGAGTTCTCACTCAAGGCACAAATGACCAGCTCAAATTACCCAACTTCAGACACATTATGCGAAGGCCCAGCTCCCTGGAAAAGGCTCTAATGCTGGGACAGGTAGAAGACGACGACCTGCAACAAGGTGGATGGACTCAGTTACTGTGGTGATGAGT